TACTTAGTCCTACTTTCCTACTTAATACTACTTCTAATTAGCTTATTTCGTTAAATGTGTTTGGTGAAATCTACTTTCAAGTGCATTTTTTATTTGTTTTAATTTTTTTTGTAACTCAATTAGCAATGGTTGGCTAACAACTTTAAACAATCGCTAAATTATACACAATGGCTGAATTGTTCGTATAAACCTGAGATTTTCCATATTAATTCGGAGACCGGCTCTTACTTCCGAAACCCGGAGCTTCCGTGTCAAACCCGAAGAGATTGTTGCCCTAGCGCTATGGAGTTAAATGATTTGAACATTGCGTCTTTCGCTATTACAAATTTTGATATTGCGTGAACAATTTTCATTTGAAATAAGCTTGTTTACAAAACGTCTTTATCATTATAAATTTATGTTCAATTTATTTTACTAAGAAATTGTATCCAGGTGCGCTTGCATAATTAAATTTTGTAAATATCACAGATCCATTGGCTCTTTGGTAACAGCTCAGCAACACAGTGGTTATGCCATACTATTGAATATTCTGAACGCGCTCTGCTTGTTTCCAAACATTTTAGCGAAAGTAAACAGCTACGCTTCGATCACTGTCCTTCGTCGGTTACTTGTGAATATTCCATCCTGCAGAAAACCTTGTGTCTCTTCCTTTCCCCCTGAGCTCCTCCATGGCCTCCACCATCTCTGTATAGAGTCGGCCACGGCACCACACATCTCCACCAAGTAATTGAACACGTGACTAATTCCATAAAGTTGCAGCGACAATGCATATATTGTATATAATTGTCCAGGAAGGAAACAATGAAACTTCAAAAATAAGCCCTTAGTACAATTTTAAGCATATTCTGCCTAATAAACTCTGGTTATTTCGAATGGCTAAGTCGCAATAAGCACTCAAAAGTTGATTTGTAAAAAATTCTTTCTATGCAAAAATTTCAAAAAACACGCTCCAAAGTATGCAAATTGTGAACAACTGTCACTGTATTATTTTTAGTTTTCGATTCAAGAAAATATCGTCAGTGCACATAAAAAAAATCGTATTTCAAATTTGGTCATATTTGAGAAAAGAACAGTGTATTCAGAAAATAGTCTTTGTTAATAAGTTTAGAAAATATTATTTTTGCTAGTGAAATATTTCATGCAGTTCATGAGACAGCCAGAGACACACTGAGAACAAGAGATCTCAGGGAGTCCATGAACTGACGCTCCTTACATAGAACACAAGTGGCGTCCCTCCCAACACTGAACATAATTCATATCTCCAAACAATAGAAACAACTAGTTCTGCAGCAGCACATACTTTCTCTCTATTTTACAATGTTTCGTTATAAACAACGGCAGACCCATAATGCTTCATTAATTTCAAACAGAATTTACGCAAAAACTACTAACACATACAAAAAAATCGTCATCCTTGTTCTATACTCACCCCTTACACGAACATGCACTACATTGCCACACGTGCCGGGAGCTTAGAGCAGCCCTGGGTGGGGCGGCGCCCCGCTGGTGGGAGATACGTGGTTGAGGGAAAAAAAACCGCTAGCCGTCGGTAGGTCCGCGCCGGATCTCGCCATGCAATAGGGGAACATCACCGCCTTCTTCCGAGGGGAAAACATTCACTAAATTTACGGGACTAATTAACTCTAGTTGACGCGCCTGGAAACACTGACAACTAACCAACCGACCTTGGTCTAACATTCGCCATCCGTCCGATATATTACAGCGGAGTTATTCCGCGGCAGTTTCTTGTCAGCAGAGAAACTCCCACGTTCCGAATGCCATGAAAAATCGCGTGCGTCAGTGGGAAACCAGAGCAAAAACTCCACCAACAGTTCATGTGAAGCCTGAACATTAGCTTCCCGTTTTACTTTACGAGTAATTACGCTTTGACTAACATAATAGTACTTTTAACTAACGTAATTACTTTCTTTTCCATGAGTGCGAAGTTCTATATGAGGCAATACGTTCATTTTTGTTCAAGGTCAAAAACTTTAAACAACGCACCATTTACAAAACGGGAAAAAAATACAATAGAGAATAATGAAAAAATGTAAATTGTTTCGAATGAATCTCCAGATTTCTGTCAAGATGCTAGTTTGAAATCATCATATTTTGAGTTGCGTGAACTGCATACGCTTTGAATTATTTTGTCTCAGAATTTGGAACGTAATTCAAAGTTATCTAACTGTTTATGGCATTGGCGAAACATTTGTACAAAAACTAGCTCCCGGCCGGTTTCCTGGCATGTGTATCAATGTAAGTGTTAGTGCATGTTAATGTGCCTGTAAGGGGTGAGGATAAAACAAGAAAGAGGTCCGTGGCCCGTTTGTTAGGGTTCTGCTCCGGCATTCGCCTGATGTTGATCGAAGAAACCACCGAAAACTGAGTGTCATTTTTGGGCTGGTTTTGACCAAAACATTTTTAGCCGGTTTATCATATGTTTCAATTATACTTCTACTGATAGAATTCTCTTCAAGATAGCGACGGAATTCGACGTAGCTGCTGCTGTGTTGTGATGTGAATATTGGTGGCGGTGATGGTGTAGCGGTTACCGTATCGGACTGTTATGTTCAAAGGGTTCAAAGCCGTGAATTTTTAAGGGCAAAAAAATCCTTCGTACGCCTTCCTTCGGAGGGAAAGTAAAGTCGGCTGTCACATGTTAGTATGCATGTAAAAGATCTTCAAGCCCAAATGACTCCTCTGAGCTAAATTCAAATCGCCTGTTTTGTCGCCCAAGAAATACCTCCTTCCTCTGCTATTTGGTGAAAGGAGCGTAGCGAAATTTGCATGGTCAGACGGAAGAGCGGGCCTGACGACCCGAGTCTCGCCACGTAAAAATAAGTCATCAATTCAATTCAATATATTTTGTAAGTTATCAAAATAAAGCCAATCATACAATAGTTGTATCGCTCGCAGAAAAAAAAGAGTCATGGCGGGCGTACATTTGATGAGGTCCCCCACCCTGCGGCGCGAAGGCAGCGCGGAGGCGTGAACGCTGCGCAGCGATCGCTCTGACCGGCACTCGCCACCACTGCGCTCAGCGCCAGAAGAGCAACTCTGAGTGCCAGGAGTCCATTACATTATCTTATTCCTGAAACCCTTCTCGAGGCACGGCTTCTTTTCTGTCGATCGTTTGGACAACCTCTGCTGTAGAAACACGTAAGCTGCCTTTCGTCTGATTATTCTCACTCACCAGTTTGTTATCGACAAACTCCCATTGTTGAATTACCGCGCGACCCACAAGAGAAAGCCGAGAGAGAGAGAGAGGGAGAGAGAGGGAGAGAGAGAGGGAGAGAGAGGGAGAGAGGAGAGAGAGAGAGAGAGAGAGAGAGGAGAGAAGGAGAATGACAGAGAGGAGAGAAAGAGAGGTAGGTAGTGTGGAGAAAGGAGCACGTTCGGGCATGCGCAGTGGAAGCTTATTGTTTTTTGACTGGTAGAGCTGCAGTTTGAAATGCATGCGCCACTTTTTGCGCCGCCCTGCCCTATGACGAGGCAGATCGGTGCTGGAGCTGAACAAATTGCGGTCAAACTTCTCGTTCGAGGCAAAAATTCGCGCATCACGAATGCTGACGCAAGCCAGAGAGAAGAGCGGCTCGCCTCATTTCCCTTTGCACAGCAATAGCTCTGCGGTCGCTCCGCTGCACTCCCCACCGCCCCCTCCACCCGCCTCTCCCCCTCTCCCCCAGCCGCCAGCCCCCCCCTCGCACCGCGAAACTTCGTCTGACTGCAGTGGGTATTTTCTATAGAGACAGAAAATTGTGTTTCACATATGTGATACATAATAGCAACGTTTCGAAAATGATTACTTTCATTATCAGGCTGGAGTTAAAATGTTAAAACAAATAAGTATAATATTTTAAACAATGGCCACTAAAGAAAAATTACATAATACAAATGTACAAATTTGTATTTTAAATAATGTAAATAGAATAAATTAATGTGACTTTGTGGGGGGAGGGAGATTCCGCTTATCTCGGGTACTGACCCTGCTAGGATAAGCTGTCTCTGATCACAAGGACGAGTCCGCATGTAAGTGTACCGCATATAAATGAAGTTGGAGGGGAAGTAAGAAAGAGAAGAGGAGGGAGAAATGACGAGGAAGGGAAGATCGCGCGCGCTCCTTGGCCCTCTGCGACATTCGTTTGTTATTACTAAGAGAAACCACGGAAACTACCTGTCGGAGCCGTTGGCCGCTCGAATTCTTCTCCAGGCAGCGACTGCTTTCCAATAGCAGGTGCGGGAAACGAAACACGTCGAGTCGAAGGGAACAGCAGTCTCCCTTTTCAGCAACATTGCTGAACCATGGAAATGCTGCCTTGCATGCAGGGCTACCACAAAACCTTCCCGAGCGATGCATAAAGAGCTTATGAGTTAGTTAATAGTTCACAGAACCGAATTCTGTTGTTTCAACTTAAGATTAAATAACCCGAAGAAAAGTGTGTCTCCCTATTTGTATTTTTAAGTGTGTCTCCCTATTTATTTTTTTAATGTTAAGATTCATTTTCAAGTTTTGAAGATTATATTCAACATTAACATTCCAAGTTAGCTAAGCGATGTCTGCAGTATATTCGACGAACGTACGAAGCAAACTTAGTACAGATTAGATAAGTGGCTAGAATTTCAAGTATAAAACTCAATTAACTGTTCCAAAAATTTCGTATTGTTAGAGAAAACGACGAGAGATTAATTTTTGTTCAAGCAGGTGATATAAAATCTGTCAATTTTGAGTTTAAAATGGCGTAGAAAATAGCATATAATAGGTCAATTGAAAAGCTAAGAAGAAGAGAAAGTTGAAATACTTCTAGAGAGGTATTATATATTATCGAAAATTTGCTACATTATTCGAATTTTCATTTTTCAGTTAAACTTCATATTACAAACATTTCACTGAACTTCAATATTTAGTTTCCCCTTATATTCCTATAATAGTCTCGTCAAAAGATAAAATGGTGGAAGGAGAATCAAAGTGTGTTTTTTCAATACGAAAAAATGTATCTTACCTCAAAGTAGAACTCCAAAAATTTGAGTTGCACCCTCAAAACTACTGGACCACTTTCTTTAAAAGAAGGCTTGGACCCAAAAGACAATCTGAAAATAATAATAATAATAATAATAATAATAATAATAATAATAATAATAATAATAAAGAATATGGCCACAAAGAGAAGTGTGTAAATTTTCGTATTACAAAAATTACTTTCATTGCAATTTCAAAACGTCTTAAAATGACTTAATTGAAATGTGTGACTATTATATAGAAATAATACACACAAAATTATAATTTTGAATTATAAAACATTTTAATCTATTGAATATAATAAATGTAAACATGTTTTAATTATAAAACATTTAAATCTATTTGTCTTTAATTAATCTTTCTTATTACATATCTTATCTCATTTATAAATAAAACTGAAGTGTGTCTGTAAATGATACTGATTCAGTTTATGCTGATGCTATCCTGATATGATAAAACCTCTAAATGCTTTATAAACTAATTGTGGAACATCTTGGAAACTGCTAAACCCATTTTGGTGTGAGTTTGCCTGAAAGCCGGAGATTTTTTAGACAAACGTACGGTTACTTTTTACTCTCACGTACACGTCTAAAAATATGGAATATAGAAAAAGCTATGAAAGGTTGCGGAAAATATATTTCAAGAATTACAGGGAAATACATATTTTGAGGCTATCTGATACCGATGAACCTTTTTTCAAAACTTCTGTCAGTTTATTTGTCCAACGGTCTGCCGCATGTAAACAACACTAGGGCATAAACTGCAGCAATGCCAGCAATTTTTCCAAAATGAATTCTACCTGGGCTGGTTTGAGGCTCTCTGAAAATGAAAAGAATTCGTCAAATTTTGAAGGCCCTAGACACGAAGTCCCTGAGACAGAATAATTTTTGTCTCAAAGATGTTTGTCTTTCTCAAAGACGAATGTTTTTCTTTAAATTTCGTTTAACAATAGAGTGAAATGGACGTAAGTCTTTTATTAGTAGTAAAATAGACGTAATTCTGTGAGACAATCTTCGTAAGAAGATGGTGCAGGTCCGATTTCCTGTGTGAAGATTGTATTTTGAAAATTGCTTAATGTTGAAATTATTTGAACCTCAAGTACTGCTACAATATTGAAGATAGAGAATTTTTCTTAGAATAAAATTTGTTCTCCATTATTAGTTCTTTAATTAATGAACAATTTTAGTAAGTAACTCTTGCTCAATTTTGAATAAAGTATGGACAATATTAAAAGAAAAACCCAAGTGCATTTTTTGAAAATGTGAGTATTTTCCAAAATTAGGCAATTAAAATTGAATTCCAATTTTAAAAAATGCAATTTTAAGTATTTATCATTTTTTCTCACCCCCCCTTTCTTCTCTAAATTGTCTCCTTAAATGAATCAAAGGACAGTAAGAAATATGCTTCTAGTACCTTTTTGGGTAAACACAAAGTTATTATTTCTCAACCACAAAAATTAAGATAGTAATTTTTGTCTTAAACAAAGTCTGTTTTTTTAAAAAAAAAGTTTTTTAAAATTGTCATACACACTTTTTTGAAATGCGTCCAAAATTTACGCAATTTTAAAACCAATATTATTGTCTCATCAAAACACAAAATTATTTCTTTAAATTAAAGATATGGTGGTAGTCTCATGTTTTCACAAACTCCGCCTTTTCGAATATTGCGAACTTGCGTGTTGGAAAAAAAAAGGGTTGCGACAATTACATTTTTAGGCGACGGTCCGAGTCCAGTTCTTATTTCGCTTCTGTAGTGTAGTGGTGTTCCTCAGGGCGAATTAATTCGGAGCACCCGAGTTTAAGTATCAGTGCGGAAAATGGTTTTTGATGGTTCAATAGACTTTTGTATGTTTTTGTAGTAGAATAGTACAGCGGAGCAGTTAGAAATAATGCGAGAAAGTATATGCTGTTTGAGCACCACAAGTTGTAACAAGTCTACAATTTTATTTCCATAATAATGAATATTTGCACCCGTTTCCGAAATCGTCTAACATGATACAATTTTCTTTTTAAACGAAATTTCGTAAAAACTGCACGCATCCTCCCTGAAGAAAATTTAAATGTTAGTTCTTTCCGCTTTTCGCGATAACTCGAACGCCGTGAATAACCCTCGTAGCATTCTGCTGTTTACTATCAAGTAAATAGCAGGGGTATCAACTCCCTGGGGTATTTTTGCACTCCAAACTTTACTGACAATTATATGTTTTAAACATGAATGTGTACGGCAATATACTTAGTTTATATAATTGATTTCATGAAAGAATTTTTGATACGTAATCCTTTAGAAATATTTATAAGAATTTGTGAAAGTTATTTAGAAATAAATCAAAAACTGAGTTTATCAGACACATTTTTTTGAAATTCATTTCCAGATATTTCAAATGAGAATGTGAAAAAAAAACATACGTTATTTTACGAATACTTCAGGTCAAATTGGTCTCATGTAACGTAAAAAATAATAAATTTTTAATAAAATTTTGGAACATTTGAAAATGTTTTGTACCTGCTTAATAAGTGCCCGAAAGCATATCAAAAATACTGAAATTATCCTGTAAATATTCTGGAAAATATTAACAAATAAATGATGATGAGGTTCACAAAACCTCAGATACGGTAAATGCATCAAAATCTATTAATAATTTCTGAAAGTCCGTAAATTATTACATTAAATTGTAATTCGTTCAGATGGCGCAATTTTGTTTTGAGAAATTGGAAGTTTACGATGACAATTACTATCAAGTTCATGTGATGTCATGTGATGTGTTCATGTGATTTTGTTAAGGTTGTAGAGTTTGTATAGTTGTTAAGTCTGTAATGTCTGTAATGTCAAGTTAGTGTATTCTGCTACCAAGTTCTCACACTTCATTGCAGAATTATTAATAAATCTAATCTAACAATACCAGGAGAGACGGCTCAGAGAATTAACTGATGTCATTGCCGTCCCTCTGACCGGGAGGTCTTTCGTTCGAGTCCCGACGGTGGCAGGATTTTCTTCACCAGCTTTTCAGCTACGTCGAATTTTGTCGCAGTCTTCTAGAATTCTAGCGGCCGGCTGCTCTGATCGGTAGTTTTCCGTGGTTTTACCGCTCAACTCCAGTCAAATGCCGGAACGGGCTACGGCGCGTTTTTTCCTTTCTTTTCCTTGTCTTATTCTGACGCCTTACTCACACACACGCACACTAAATACACTACACTAACACACATGCCAGAAGACCAGTCGGGAGCCTAGAGCTTGTTTCGACTGAGGCGGAGTCACTGGTGGGGGAAAACCCCGCCAGCCGTCGGAGGTTGGCGCCGGATCTCGCCAAATAGCGGCGGAAGACAACGCACCTCCCGAGCAAACACACGCACTTCACTTACGGGACTAATGACTAGTAGTTCCCGGTCGGAATAACTAGCCATCAATCGATAGCAATGTCAATGCAGACATCAGCTGCTCGTAGCAACAACGGGAGTATTCTGAGAAATCTTCCCATACGCATAGCATCCACCTGGTTGGTCGTGTTTTTGTAGGAGCAAAACTAAATGGGAATTGTTGCGCACATCAGCGCGGTGCGGCCGAAGGACAAAGGCCGAGGCAAACGCAGGGGAGCAGCGGCCAACGCCGTCGCCGCGTCCTGTGACCCGCACAAAAAATTGGAAGGAGTTCCCAGCCGTACTTCACCTCCGAATGCGCGTAAATTCAAGAATAAATTAAAAACAAATTATAAATAGTAATTGTTATGTAGTTAAATACTAGATCCTAGTCTTCATTAATTTATAATTGTACACGCCTTCTCTTCGCCTATCCCAGCGCTTCTCCTAGCCTTGAGGTAAATCGCACGGCGAGTGATCTCGCAGGACCTGAGTTCATGTCTCAGTGCGGAAAAAATTGTTACTTGTTGAGAACTCTTTTGTAGGTGTAAGCAGTAGTATAATACTGCAAACAGGTAGAAAAATGCGAGAAAGCTCGTATTGTTGTAATATCACTAGTTGCTTGAAATGAAATGCAGAGGGCCCCAGACGAGCTATAGGTCGCAATTCTCACCGGCTTTATAGAAAAAACACCAAATTGTAACAAAAACGAAGAATTGATAGAATGAAAGCTAATCTGCTGCAATTTTTTCATTATTTTGTTCTTCGAGTTGCCATCTATCATAGTTTCCTCAAATGGAGCAGGCATTGTCTGTGAGTGTATGGTTATAGTTGTATTGTCAAAGGCCATGGCTGAGCAAACAAGCATATTACAACAGGAAATGAATATATTAACGAAGAGTTCTCTACTTTTCAAACACCAGGCATGTTAGTCCAAGTGAAGTCTTGCTACAGAATGTTTGCCTTCAATATGTCTGAACAATGCGGAAAAAGTGTGGTCCAATTACCAGTTCATTTGCCCCAAAGGGTATTTTACTGAAGTCAATGATTCTGAGATATTGGTTCAAGTACAGTTAAAGGTTGTTGTCTGGTGTCTGGCAGCTGCTTCTGCCTTTACGTAACTCTGTTTCCGGCCCGGAAGCTGCAAGCTCTGAGAATGATCGCTACGCGATCGAAACGATCGTTGGCAAAATAAATTTTTGATACCAGACACACTTTTAATTTACCAGATTTAATTATTAGAAGGTATCTACCTCACCAGTGATCTAATTAATACAGTTAAAATGCACATAACTCAGTGTTTGGTTTAATTTCAACTAATGTATTGAAACCAAAAGTATTTTCATTTATTCTGAAATACCAGTTAATTATGTTCGGGACAAAAGCACTAGAAATTGGATATTTTAAAAAATATTTTAAAATTCTTATGTTTAGAAACCAGTCTCTCCTGTGAATTTCTTCCCAGTTACGGTCACATTTTGTCAGATTTCCACTAGTTGTTTTACTTATTGTAAAACCTGATCAAGAACTGTGATTGACAGAGAAGCGAAAGTACAATACTTGTTATGTTATAGTACTTGTTGCACAGCCGGTTACAAGGTACTGAGGGAGCCAAAAATTGAGAATAGAGATGGTACAATAACATGTGAGTATGAGAAAAGAGTCAGGAGAGGGACGGGAAATGCATTATTAAAGCAAGTTTGGTGGGAACGAGATA